CGTGTGCGCGCCGGTCGCCGCCTGAGGACAGCGGACGGACGCGGGACCCCGCGCCGTGTTGGCGGGCGGGGTGGGGGGCAGCAGAGGCCGAGCGTGGTAGGGCGGGGTTGTCACGTCCAGAATCGGCGCAGCAGGTCCCCAAGAAGGACCGGGTGTCCGGCGGTGCCCCGCCCGGCGCGGGCTACCCGCTGTGCGCGCCCGGGGCTGGGCTGCCCCCGGCCGAGCTCGCTGTTGGCTTGGCCGGCCCTGCCCAGGGAGTGCCCAGCCTTGCTTCCCACCCTGCTGCAGGGCCCCATTCCCAGGGACACAGCTGGGGGTTGCCCCGAGGGCATGAGAGGGCTTCTGGCTCCCTCACCCAACTGCTTGGTGCGGGCCCAGACCCCTGTCCTGCCACGGACCTGGTCTCTGCCCTGCTTGTGTCCGCCTCGGCAGCGCTGGCCGCCCCACCCGTTTCTCAGGTCAGAAAGGGCTTCCACGCCCCCGTTGTTGCCGGAGCAGCTGGGGTGTGCCCATGTGCAGCCCAGGCCCTCGGTGCCTGTTGCCAGCCGGCTTCGACACGCTGGGGCCTCCTGGCCCCGCTGCCTCTTGTGTCCCCTCGTTTTCTTCCCGCTGCCACCACTCGCCGAGCCGTACTTCTGGCCAGGCCTGGGCCGACTGGTCTGCAGAGCCCTGTGCCTGGCGTGGCCAGTGCTGCCAGGACAGCCGGAGTTACTGGCGCGTCGCTGCTGCTCAGCCAGCCCCGCGGGGTGTGGGAGAGGGCCCTGGCCCCCCAACTGTGCCGGCGATTGAGGCTGGCGGCCATTGGGGTCTCTGGCCAGGCCTTCTCTGCGGCTCTGGGCTGCTGGTCTGTGGCTGGCAGGGAGGTCTCCTGAGCAGCCCTGCCCGCTGCGCGCACTGGACCCCAGGTGCACAATGGGATGGCTGGGAGCCTGGGCCCACGCGGTCCTCCCCCGCCTACTACCCAACCCGACGGCGTGTCTGCTGCTCCTGTTGGCACAGCTGGTCCTGACCCAGGCACCGGGGCACCACCCTCCTTGTGCGTGATCGTGGGGGGCTGTGGCTTCAGGTGCATCCGCTTCTCAGCTGCTGCAGGTATACTGCAGGGGCCCCGGGGTGGCCGGACCCCGGCACTCATGTCTCAGATGACCAGCTGGTCATGCCATCTCAGTGAGTCACCTTGAGGACACACTGCTGTCAGCTGTTGGCAGTTACGGGGTTGCGCTTCAGAACCTTTTATGCCAGCTGGGTAATTCCTGGAGCACAGAGTGGACCAATCAGCTGCGAGCTATGAGCTGATTGGTGCTGGGCGGCCCAATCAGAGCGGTGGGCGGGGCTCCCTGTAGCGGGACTTGGGTAGGGCCGGGCCGGCTGGGGGAGCCTGGCGCCAGGCTCCTGGAGGGAAGGGCCAGGGCCCAGGGCAGGAAGGGGAGTCCAGCCCCACCTCCCAGAGACAGGGGCTGCACCTCTCCACCCCGGGGAGGGAGCCCAGAGCCCCAGGCCTGGTGTTTCAGGGCTGCTTTTGGTGTCCCCCCAACCTCTCACAGAGAGATGTGGATGCTGGGTGTCTCTGATACCCCTCTGGGGGGCCAATGCTGCCCAGACTCCTGGTGACCAGGAATGACCATCCCCTCGGCCAGCGCTGCCCAGATGCCTGGTGACTGGCAGTGTCCACCCCCACTGGCCAGTGCTGCCCAGGCCCCTGGTGACTGGCGGGGGCCCTCCCCCCCAGCGCGGCCCAGCATGTTGAGCGGTGGCCGCTGGGCTGCGTGGGCCCTGGGGGACACTGCGGGGTGAGGCAGCTGCCACTGGGGCCACAGCGAGCCCCTCGCTCCCGCCTGTCAGGTCAACCCGCGGCGGCAGCTCCTGGGGCCGAGGCCTCGTGCAGCCGCGCCGGTGAGACCGCAGATGCCCCTGGCCAGTGGGGTCTGGGCTCAGGGCCAGTATGGGCAGCGGTCCGGCCCGTCCGGGTGGCCCATCACCCCCTCCCCCTGCCCTGCCGACCCATCCGTGGGGTTGCCTCTGGCCAGCTCTCAGAGATCTTCCACACCCGCCACAGGGGCGGCTGGTCCTGCGCTGTCCGCCCCGCGTCCGTGTCCACTGGCCCTGGTAGTTGAGTCCTGCGGGCTTGTCATGCGCGTCGAGTCTCTCCTGGGCTGTCCGCCTGGTAACCGTTGTCCCCCGGTCACGGTTGGCCGGCCTGGGCAGGGACGGCGGCAAGGCCCCTTCTCTGTGGGGCTCAGCTGGGCACCCCAAGCAGGTACCGCCTGAGCCAGAGGATGCCCCGTCTCTGTGTCCAGGGGCTCTTCACGCTCCGGCTGCGGGCAACAGCACGGTGCGGGGTCCTCTGGCCAGGGGCAGCAGGGCAGGGGGCCTGCGCGGTGGGCGCCTCCTGGGGCAGCCGTGGGCTCTCATGGCGGTTCCCGTTGGGCGACGGGGTGCCTGGGCCCCCCCAGTGCTCGCGTCTGCTGGCGCCCGGCCTGCTCCCGGTCTTCCCAGGGACGGGCCCGGGGGCACGCGCCGTGTCGTCCCGGCCGCCCTGCTGGAC